ATTTTCTCCAACTGCTGTCCCTACATGTACACTTTCTCACTTCCTTTTCTTCACTTATGCCATTTTCTCTGCCTTTCCTTCCATTTCCAGCTTTCAAATTTTATTCTGTTTTAGTTTTTTCTTTTTTACTCTTCATAAAGCCTTCTTTGAYCTTGCCCATTCCAAATGCCCATAGTAGTTGGTACTTCTTATAGCCTTTATGGTCCCCCCCCCATCAGCTTTCATTTTATATTAAGTATTTCTAGTTTATTCTTACTGTATTGAAATTTCCACAAAGCCAGGGATCTAGCTGTCATAATCATCTTGTTTTTTACAGTCATTCCCAGAGTATTGCTTTGCAGCCATCATAATTTTTTTATTTCATTTCTTGATAAACCAAATTTTTACTCCCAAAGTTTAGTTTCAAAGGTTAGATTGAACTGTTTACAAGCAGGTCAAGTAAATCCCTTAGTGAATTTTTATTGAGTAAATAGGTAATATCACTCCATGGTATGCTCAGAGAAATAAAGTACAAAATGAATAACTATWTTTAGAGAAAGAACTCCTTCTCCCAACTGAATAGAACCAAAATTCTTTGGAAAAATAGCTGACTCCGAGTCTAGAAGGTTTTTTCATGTCATAAAGCAATGAGCCTATCTAACACTGCTGGACTTCTAGTCCAGAGGACTTCTAGGAGTTATCACAAGTGAGTCCCTGCTTATCAAAGATGGACAATTTGAGCATTAAACAATTAAAATATATCAAATATGTTCAGATCAGTGTGCTTACAGTGATACTAAAAAGGACAATAAAAGGGTTTTATTAACTTTGGAAGAACTTAGGAAAAATTTTATCATTCTGAAAACAGATAAAGAGAAAGGATAAAGCAGTTAGCCATCTTTTCCTGTAAAAAGTATTCCTGAGACTGCTAATTTTGTAGCTCAGTGGTGGAATGCTTGCCTAGTACACATGAGGCCCGGGGTACATCCCCAGCACTGGGAAAATAAAAAGAAGAATTTTACCTGAGGTAAACAAGTAGTTAAAGAAGGAAATTTTTCTGATGGCTGCAGTACAGCTCATAAGTGAAGACAGAATGAGAGAGAAAAAATTCTAAGACTTAGAAGCTCTATACAGAAAAAAAAAAATCAAGATTGAGAGTTCTTTTAACTATTTATCTTATAGTCAAAAGGCAGTTAATGCAGATAATTCCCCAGTCTAAAAATACTTATGCCTCTGATTTAGGTCTTGATTTTTTTTAAATGTTCCTTAGGTTTTTATGGTTACATTCATTGACCTTCCTATTGCTACCAATCATTTTAAGAGGTCTTTCAGACCATTCTTAAGTGTAAAGTGGTATTGACCTTCTTAATTCTTATAGGTTGGGAGATAGGGCCAGACTACAACATAACCCCAGAGTTTCTGTCCTCCATGGGGTCCAGGGACTCTTAACAGTTTTAAACTTACCAAAGTGAACTGGGCCCTCTAAGTAGTATTTGTGTGAAGAGGCAGTAAGAAAGGCTGGGTGTATGCACAAAGTAAATATGTTAACTCAAGAGCAAAATAGGTGGTCTGTATAATAAGATAACATAGGGGAAAAAAACAGACAAGTAGCAGTCAGCACTAGTGTTACTCTGATATTTAATAGCCTCATACCTATAGCAGGCAAGTGCAGATTGTTCTTCCAGATGCCTTATTTTCTCAATTCATACACACCTGGTTTTTATGTTTTTAACATTTCTGAAATTTGCATATGTCTTATAAATATATGTGTATATTTAATATGGCTGTGTTCCAGGGGCCCCCTCACCCTCCCGGGAAGCTATTTAAGTATTTTTCTGTTGAAAATCAAAAAGATAGCTAACATTTCTGTTGTCTGTGGATCTGGTTGACATGAGATCTTTCCAAAGGCAGGATTGGATGGACCAGATTGGCAGCTTAGCTAGACATGGTCTTTCTTTGAACTGTCTCTGAAACTGTGGCATTCCTATTTTGCCCAGCCAGTAATAGCCCTTGGTTTACCTCAGAGATTTATGTATCAGTCATTTGCTGAATTTCAGGTTGGTACATCTGTGCAACATAGTTCCTAATGTAATATATCATCAATTATCAGTTCTGGCACTGCAGTTTTGTTTGTAACTAGTTCCCTTATTTGAAAAAAAAAAAAACATTTTAATAACCATTTAAATATATTGGTAAAATGTAGTTTTAACAGGATTTTCATCTTATATTGTGCTCTTGTATTTATTGTAAGCTCTTTATAGTAAATCTTTGGTGAAGCCATAAAGTTGGGATAAATCCATCCCTTCCTTGTCTTCTGCTAGGGAAAGAAAGGGGCTGGGTGGTTCTTATAAATGATGGTGAACCCTAAAACTTAGAAACATCTTTATCCCTGAGTAATGGGAGCTGTAAAATATTAAGCATTAATATGTTCTTTGACATAGTAAGCTTTTATTCAGTTTCTACTTTGTACCAAATGACTATGCTAAGGACACAGGTTTAAAAAGTGAAAAACACCAAATTCTTGCTGCCCTCAAAGAGTTGAATCTAATTGGTGAGATGGCAGTTGTTTAAATGATAAATAATCACAATGCAGTGTGCCTAAGTGTTACAGGAAGTAAATATAGGAGACTGTCTCTTTGGTGAAGAATCAGAAAATTGTGAGCCTTTAGGATAAGTAGTATTGGTCATTTAGGCAAGGGAACAAAGGGCATCACTGACAAAAGGGATAGTTTGTATAAAAGCCATGGGGTTATAAAAGTAAAGTGTGTGTAGAGTGCAGGTAGCTTGGCTTCTAGGAAGCCTATGATGACAGTATAGAGGATGAATCCAGAAAGGAAGGAGCCACATGGTTCATGACAGTGATTGCTATTCTATGCATCTTTGAATATTATCTAATAGCTAGGCAGGTGGGCACACGCCTGTAATCCCAGCTAGTCGGGAGAATGAGGCAAGAGGATCTCAAGTTCCAAGATCAGCCTCAGCAACTTTGCAAGACTCTGCCTCAAAATAAAAAAATAAAGGGCTGAGAATATAGCTCTGTGGTCGAGCACCCCTGGTATCACAAGGGAAAAAAGATGGTCCAAAGCCTGTGGTCTCCTTTTTCAAATGGGATTCTTTTAAAAACACTGAAATACAGAAGACTGAGGTAGGAGGATAGCATGTTCAGGACAGCCTGAGCAACTTTGCGAGACCCTGTTTCAAAATAAAAAATTCAAAAAAAAAAAAAAAAAGACTGTCTAATAGGTGATTCTTGATCTGTTAGCACTTTTTGTATAATCGACTAATGAAGATCAATATTGAATAAACTGCCCTGAAATCCTTAAATTGAACACACATTACTAGATGACAATCATATTACTTCATGTTTATAATATTGTCTTATGTTGTCATCCAATAAGTTGCCCCAAATGCATTAGCTTTGTTCTTTAATGTCAGTTAAATTGAAGTGTAATTTATTCACACATCAATTTTACATATACAATTCAGTCAAGTTTGACAAATGTATATAGTCAACCTAACCATCACTCTTATCATTATATGGTGTATTCTTATCAGCCAACATCAGCTTTTAATCATTTTGTTGAACTAGATAATCAATGAGACCCTGGAAAGTACAGTATCTGAGGAATAGGGAAATTTAAAAAAACAAAAACAGTCTTTAAACGAGGAAGCAATTTTTTTTTCCCTATAAAATCCAACAAAGAAGCTCTGTACAAGTGCTTCATTGGGGTAGGTTTATCTCTTGAAGTCTTCAGTAGGAAAAGGAGAAATTGAAAAACAATGATGTGAAGCACACCTGTAATCCCAGAGGCTCAGGAGACTGAGACAGAAGGATGGTGAGTTCACAGCTAGCCTCACAACAGCAAGGTGAAACCCTGTCTCTAAATAAAATACAAAATAGGGATGGGGATGTGGCTCAATGGTCGAGTGCCCCTGAGTTCAATCCCTGATACTCTTCACCTGCCGCCATCAAAAAAGAAAAGAAAACAGCTGAGCATGGTGGTACACACTCATAATCTCAGAGATTTGAGAGGCTGGAGCAGGAGGATTGCAAATTTGGAGCCAGGCTTGGCAATTTAGGGAGACTCTGTCTCAGAATAAAAAGAACTGGGGATGTAGCTCAATGGTAAAGTACCCTTGTTCAATCCCTAGTACTACACCAAAAAAAAAAAAAAAAGCAAAATAAAATTTTTAAACTGAACTGAAAGAACCTCCCATGTGAGTTCTAGCAGGCATCTCTTGTATATTTACTACCATAGAATTGTGGAGGCACTTTCACATATCTGAGGTCTTGTAACCAGCCACCAAACCAAGGGAATCTGCCCAGATTGGCTACCTGCTTGCATAAGAAATAGGGGAATGGTAGAAAAAGRAACAGAAATTTCTTTGTCTGTTTCTTATGTGAACAGCTGAACCTGGCTAGCTGGAATCTAGGCAGGTTCCCTTGCCATGGCTGCAATAAGAGTCTTGGTTTCCTTGCCCATAAAATGGGGGATATAATGGTATATTCTTAACTGTATTCTGAAGAATTTTAGCATTGTGTGAGGTGTGGTCAAGGACAGGAGAATTAGTAATAAGGATTATGTTTTAAAGGAGAGTCAAAGAAACCATGTTTGATGTTGGYAAATAGGGGGCAAAAGTGCCTTTTTCCTTTTCAGTTGCATTTCGACATGTTTGGCTGACTATTTATTTATTTATTCATAGAATTGGATATTCAGTCCCTGTTATTGTTATAAAACTTATCCTATCTATCTGTAAGTAAGTAAGTAAATAAATAAATAAATAAATAAATAAATAATGTAGGATACTTTTTATAATAATTCATTCGGTAATTCTTCCTTGCAATTGTGGTTCATTATGGACAGGGATATTTCTCCTGGGTAATATTGTCATTAAGTCACCAGACTTATTTTTCCCCAGAAGTTACTGCTTTTAAGAATAAAATATACATTTAGATACAAGAGATACAAAGTTTTATATTTTTAAACAATTACTTCATGTTATTTGTTTGTTTTAACCAGTTACCCATGGGTGTATTGTTTCCACAATAAAACTTTTTCTACCAGATGGTATGGAAGCCCGGCTCCGCTCAGAGTGAGTATAATTTAGTGCTGTGAAGTTTTTGGATTAATTACCTTGGATAATATTAGAAGATGATATGATGCTAATACTTCAGGGTCATTTTATAATTTTATAATATCATTATTACAAAACTGATGTGGTGCTTCTTGAAATATACTTGTTTAAATTGCTTTTTACATTATTTGCAATTGGAGTAAATAATAATGTACTCGGGGCAGAGGTTATTTTATTTCCAAATGTAACTTTATAATTTATATTTGGAAGGATAATTAGTTACTTTCCACAATGTTTAGAGTATGTTATTGRTGAACAATAACATCTTCTTTGATCTTCATTTAAGATAGAGCTTTGTCAACTGTGATTAGCTTCATCAACTGTGATTGCCTCTGAAGTTAATAGCATTGTCATCATTTTATAGGACCTTGGTGATGATAATATAGTTAGTAGCTTAKTTTGTTCAGTGTATAAGTACACTTCAATCCTGTCCTTTTCAGATTAACATTATACAGTGTTGAAGAAAGTTAAGCAGTATTTAAACGTCAACTTTTTTTTATTGGGGGCAGGTAGGATCCCTTGAATATAGTAAACGCTTGTTTCTAGACTCAGTATTTTCTGTCCATCAAAAGCTGTTTCTGGCCAGGTGAGGTGGTACATGCTTATAATCCCAGCAATTTGGGAAACTGAAACAGGAGAGTCACAAATTCAAGGAGAGTCTGGGCAATTTAGCAAGATCCTGTCTCTAAATAAATAAATAAATAAATAGGGATGGGGATAAAGATCAGTGATAAAGTGCCCCTAAGTTCAGTTCAGTGCCCACCCTCCCCACCCCCCTCACCCCCGAAAAAGCAGTTTCTATTATAACCTCTTTTTTTTTTTATTAGCAACTTGTTTTGGGTTACATGACAATACCTAGAAGTTAGAATAATGTGTTGGAAAGATGAGGCAGAGAGAGGCCCTTCCATTACTGAGATAGTCTGCTTTCTTTGATTTGTATCACATTCTTTACACATCAATTAGAAGCTACCTTTTTTTAAAAGATAGTTGAAGCAAAGCAGAAAATATTTTAAACATTTTTAATTTAAAGCATTATTTCCTATTTTAAATTAACTTAATAAAATTGCATTGAATTTTAGGAAATTTAACATAACAGCTTTTATTATGAGTCCAGAATTTTTGTTTTAGAACTAGTCAACAGATGATGTATGGCTTTTTAAAGAATTTGATATTTGTATTTGAGAATGAGATTTTTCTTTCATAAAGTTGAAAGCTTTGAGCAGTTACATAAGGAGTTATCTGTTCTCAGATTCCATCTAATAGAGCATGTGAATTTTTTCAAAGTCTGATTGCATGACTTATGTCCCTATTGCTCTTGTTTCCCCAATCCTTTTAATCTTTGTCCCTGTCTTCTCATAGTTTCACTTTCCTTATATAGTTAAATATTAACACCATTCAAATTTTTGCTATAAATTTCATTGTATATAATTGGACTTTCTAAAGAAAATGAATTTTGAACAGGCAATTCTCTAAAGCTGGAGTAAGATTGAAATAGTCTTTAGAAGTAGATAGTCCAGTTCAAAAACCTGACATGACTTATTTTGTGATTTAGTTGGGCCTCARTTTTCTCATTTGAAACATGAAGATGTTAATAGTACCTGTTGAGCAGTAATTAGGGGGATTGTGAGGATTGCATACTTAAAGAGTTTAGTGTATTATCTGGCATATAATAAGCCCACAATGAACATTAGCTGTTTCTGTTATTATAACCAAATTTTTATTAACAATGTACATGGTTTTGGATATGCTAGAATACCTAGAGTTTAAGTCCACTGTGTAAATACCATCAGTGATTTTTAAGGTCTTCATTAGGTCGTTCTCAGAAGGCTGACTTTTTTCTTTTTTCATTTTTGTTATATTGCATAAATAATTTTTAGATGGTAAGAAATGGAGAAATGCTGGGCACAGTGGCACCYGCCTATAATCCCAGCAACTCAAGAGGCTGAGGCAGAAGGATCTCAAGTTCAAAGCCAGCCTCAGCCACTTAGCAAGGCACTAAGCAACTTAGTGGGACCCTGTCTCAAAAACCAAACAAATAAACAAACCTGAGGGTATGTCTCAGTGATAAGGTATGAGAGGGTTCAATCTCAGTACCAAAAAAAGGAAGAAGAAAGAAAGGGAAAGAAATTGCTTATCATCCCATTATTGAAACATTAAGTAACAGTTTTCATTTTCTACATTCCCTTTTTTTGGCTTTTTGTATTCATGTAGATTTTTTTAAAAWTTTTTTTAGTTGTAGATGGACACAGTATCTTTATTTACTTATTTTTATGTGGTGCTGAGGATCGGACTCTGTGCCTCACACATGCAAGGCAATTGCTCTACCACTGAGCTACCGCCCTAGCCTGCATGTGGATTTTTAAAGAACTCAAAATAAACCATATCCAAGGTAGTTTTTGGAAAATACAAATATCATTTATGGAATGTGTTGCTGAATACTTAGCTTTTGTGTGTGTGTGTGTGTGTGCTGGGAATTGAACTCAGGGCCTTGGGCATACCAGTTTTTTCTAGCCTTTCATTTGTTAGTCAGATTTTCATGGGAACAGAAGAATTTGTACTTGGGTCTCTGGGAAAACTGGTCTTAAAATTCTTGTTAATACTATTTGCTTCCATTTAGGCATTATTAAGTTCACTCTTCTATATGCACATATCTGAAGAGAAAAGGATRTATATTCAAAGTGGTTATCTCTGGGTACTGATATTGGATAATTTCAATGTATTTCATCATGCTTTACTTCATATATTTTCATAATCGATATATATTGCTTGTATAATCAAGAAAGGTAAATGTATGGCCAGTGCAGTGGCACATGCCTGTAATCCCAGTGGCTAGGGAGGTCAAGGCAGGAGGATCCCAAGTTCAAAGCCAGCCTCAGCAATGGCAAGGTGCGAAGCAACTCAGTGAGACCCTGTCTCTAAATAAAATACAAAATAGAGCTGGAGATGTGGCTCAGTGGTTAAGTGCCCCTAAGTTCAATCCACAGTACCCCCCCAAATAAATAAATTTATGTTTGAAATGTCTGTTGTAGTTTTGTAGTATGAAAGTGAAAAACTTAAATTGTACATAATTTTTTTAAACCTTCACTAGACATCAGCTTTGTTAGATTCTGTGATAGTTTCTGGGGATGCAGAGGTGAATTGATAATAGTTCCTGAGACACAGGTGTATAATCAGAGAAGTACAGTATAGGATTATATAGGTTCAGGATATCAAGGGTGCTGGTACTTAATATTCTATTTTACAAGTCAGTTTCTCAGTTTTTACACATGGTTAGCCACAGGAATCTGGGAACTTTTCCTAGTCAGGTTTTAAGCTCTGGCTGTCACTTTAATGGATTCTAAGTTGTGGAGTGATARCAACCAGTAGATGGGTGGCGGCCTTGCTCTATGTCCCATTGCCCACCCTCATCTCACATATAGTATATGAGCATTGTCAAATAGAGACCCTGACTTCCTCAACTGCTTATTTCTCATGGGAGTGGTCATAATGATCAGTTGTTCCTATATTTTCAACACTGTTTTAAGCTCTTTATTTATGTTAACACATTTAATACTCAAAAGTAACCTAATGGGATTGGTTTTATAATTACTACCTCCATTTTATGGCTGAGGAAGCTAAGACCTATCTTTATAAGGCAGTGTGCCTTTCAGCTAGTAAGTAGACCCAGAATTTGAACCCAGATAGTACAGCTTCTAAGCCTGAATGCTTACCAGCTACTSTATTACCTGTCAATAGATTTTTATCAGGGCAGAAATGAAATTAGTACCAATTAATGTCATTTATTTAAATTTTTTTCTATTTTGTGTGTACATGTATCGGAGGTTAGTACTGGGGATTGAACTCAGGGGCATTTTACCATCAAGTTACATTCCCAGTCTTTTTTTTTTTTTTTTTTTTGGAGACAGTGTTTTGCTAAGTTGCTAAGGCTGGGCTAAAGCTTACAATTTTTTTTACCTTAGTCTCCAGAGTCACTGGGATTATAGGCACCGTGCCATTGTGTGTAGTTTAATGCTTTGTTTTAAGTAATATTTCTTTTTGGTTGAACTTTACTTTTTAAAACTTTCCATATAGGAGTGTTTTAATTTTAAAATAATTTATATGTTGTATATAATTCAATTGGATGATTTAAGTAGTACTTCTTTTCTGTATGAAATCAAGGAATTTACCATAACCCACAATAAGTAGTCGATCCTCAAAGAACATTTAGTACATTTTGAATTTAAAAATTTGATGTGGGGCTGGGATTGTGTCTCAGCAGTGGAGCGCTCGCCTAGCATGAGCAGGACCCAGGTTCAATCCTCAACACCACATAAAAATAAAGGCATTGTGTTGTGTCCATCTATACCTAAAAAATAAATTTAAAAAAATAAATAAAAAATAAAAATTTGATGTTAGAAATACATTAATGTATAAAAAAGTAAGTTTTAATATGTATTACTTTATTTTCTACTGATTTCATCCATTTATAAAGAATTGAAAGTTTCATACTCTTTTAATTATATGAGGGCAAATGTATCAGTTTTGTGGTTTACGATATTCTGGTTCTATCATGCTGTGTTTCCTCTGTTGTCAGGAAATTAGATAAAAATTCTAAATTTTACATTTCAGTGTCATCCATGCTCCATTACCAAGTCCTGTTGACAAAGTAAGTTGCTAATGGTTATTTTTTCCTAAACTGTGCTTTTAAAATGTTTGTTTTTAATATGCTTTACCTAGAATTTATTTTACAACAAAACATGTGAAGTGCATATAACTATACAGTTAATTTAATCTTCTAATCTTTAGTATCTGGAGAATTTAGAATGAATGTTTCTTTGGAAAAAAATGTCTTGTAATTTTGAGTAAACTATTGACTGTGTAGACTAGGAGTACCTGTTTTGCTCTTAGCCAAAGGTAAGAAATGTTAGCTTTTACTTTTTTTTCTGAATCAGTTCTGTCTAGAAATTTGTTGAAGCATCTACCCAGTTTAGTTTACTCAAAATATTACCCCTAAAGGAAAGTAGCACAGAAATATGAATTTACAGAAATTATTCCTTTATTATCTTTGAAGGTCAGTTTTAACACAGTTTGATTAGAAACTGCAGTAATTGCTTGCTACAAAAACATTCTTTTTTCTGTCAAGAGATAGTGCTGTCATTGGTAAAGAGCATAAAAACCAACAAACAAAAACCCCAAACAAAACATCTTTTTCATCATTTAACATTAATRTAGATGTTATTTTCTTAGTGCAATAATTAAACTATTGGGGGAAATATTTTGCATCTTTTCTTCCATTGAGTGAAGAGCAAATGCGTACCTGAGACTGAAGTGGTCTCTTAGATTCCTTTATTAGAATTAAAAAGAGGTTAATCAACTTCTGCAATGCCAAAAATTATTTCAGAAGTAAATAATGGTCTTACTGATCTAGGACTAACTTTAAAAAATAATGCCAACTCTTTTAGTCATCATATTAATAAAAATATACTTTCTGTGCTTAATGAGGAATAATATGGTAATCAACTAACACAGTGCTTATTAGTGTTGAGGATGTGGGTAGATATTATAGCAACCAATTAAGTGCTCTTCTTTTTTTTTTTTTATGCCGTGATTCTATTTCCACAGCCTTGCTAGGCTGTGCAGTAGTGCTCGCCTATAATTCCTGCAATTCAGGAGGCTGAGGTAGAAAGATCACAAGTTTGAAGCCAGGCTTAGTAACTTAGTGAGGAAGGGCTGAAGATGTAGCTCAGTGGAAAATCACCTCTGGGTTCAATCCCCAGTACCACCACCATCAAAAAAAAAAAAAAAAAAAAAAGTATATATATTTCACAGCCTTGAAAAACTCTTCTAGAAAGTGCCTCTTCTAATACTCTTGGATTCTAAACAGTTTGATTGATTTGTAGTATTTAAGCACCATTATTAGGGCTGGGGATRTAGCTCAGTGATAGAGTACCTGCCTGGCATACAAGAGGCTCTGGGTTCAATCCCAGTACTGCAAAAACAAAAAACAAGACTAAACACCATTATTTTCCATCTTTTCCAGAAAGTGTATTTATAGTTGAAAGGGGGAAAAAAAAAAGAAAAGAAAGACAGGTCTGGCTGGGATTGTGGCTCAGTGGCAGAGCACTTGTCTCACACACACATATGAGGCACTGGGTTCAATCCTCAGTACCACATAAAAATAAATGAATAAGATAAAGATATTGTATCTATCTTCAATGAAAAAATATTTTTAAAAAACTATTTTTATTACCCCTGACCATTGAACATTGATAGATTTTATGTTGCCCTCCCTGCTTCAAATAACATCTTGAAGATGGTTACTTCTAAATGAATTGTGAGTTGTTGACATATTGAAGAACTATTTAATGATGAATCTTAAAGGGAAAATATGTTCATCTCTGGATTTAGGAGGTTTATCTGGATTAAGAAAATACTGGATGGCCTTTATACTATAAATTTGTGATTCAGCTTATCAAGGAGTGTTTTCATGAGTAGCACTTGTTGTACCACTAAGGAAATCAGTTAATTTGAAAAATAAATTTATGTGCATATTTAAATAGACATTTCAAGGAATTGGTCTTAATTTTGTTTTTCTTTTTCTTTTTTCTTCTGTCTTTAATTTCTTTTATGAAGTTATTTCCTGTGACTGTTGACACTTTGACTTCTTTTTCTAGGTTGCTGCTAACACTCCAAGTATGTATTCTCAGGAATTATTCCAGCTTTCTCAGTATCTACAGGTAAAAGTAAACTTTGAAAATTCTTAGTCTTTAGAAGTACCATTAAACAACTTAGATTTTATTTTGCCGGTATGCAGATAGAGGATAAAAAGTGTTGGCTAGATACAAGTACAAAAGAAATATCTTTTCAAAGAAGAACAAAGGATTAAAAATAGTCTTATGAAGAAAAAAGAAGTCAATTGTTAAATACAGAGAACATAAGCTTCTGTATAAGATTTTTTCTTCAATATGAGGAAGTTCCAAAACAGTTTTTTTAATCTATAGATGGCTTTTAAATAAAATTAGACCTGCTAAATAATAATATCATTATATTTTGGGATGCTTAATAATGTTAATATCACATAATTATATAACACTATTGTACCCTAAGTTCCATTCTAGCACTTTACCTATATTAAGTCATTTAATCTTTACAGCAGTCCTATGATGCACATATTTTATTCCCACTTTTACAAATGGAGTAACTGAGAGACAGGAAGATTTAATAACTTACATAGTATCAAACATCTAGTAATGGATACATCTAGGATTTGAACCTAGTCTGTGTTTATAGTGATTCAATAGTCAGACCTCTGAGTCTGCTATACTGTGCTACTGGATACATAGAAAGATTTATTGATAAAGCAGATACTTGGAATGGTCTCCTGAAGCAGTTAATGTCATATTTAAAGAGTAATTCAAATCTTTAAAAAGCCAACAAGTGTTTTTTTTTTTTTTTTTCCTGGTTTATGTAGATTTGGGCTGGATTGTGGTGAGAGAATAGTTAAGGAAAACCCTTGATTAGGAGTTTAGAGATTGAAGTCTTTTTCTTGGTTCTGCTACTCAGTTAATTCTGTGTCTTTGGGTGAGTTATTTTACATGTGTAGGCTTTCAGTTGTCTTTTGTTTAAAATTATAGAATTATTCAATTATTTACAGGACTCAATGACTGAGAGCAGTTCCATCTCAGTTAAGAACATACACATCTGTAAAAATGATCAGAAAATAATGAATGAATTAATTAGATCTTATCTTACATCAGCCATAAGAAAATATTTTTGCACATTTGTATTCTAATCAGATTCTCTAGATTCCATCCCTGACTTTAATTTCTGATTTGATCAAGAAAGTTGTTTAAAATCTTTGGACCTCATTTTCTGCAGCTCGGAAAAGGGTAGAACAATACTACCTCACCAAATTGTGAAAAATATGTAATTAATACACATAAAGCACTTAGAACAGTGCCTGGCACATAGAATATATGCCATAAATGTCAGTAGTCATTTACCATTCAATAGGAAGGCACCTTAATTGATTTAGGTGTCCTTATTAGAGGTAGAAGAAAACTGAGATTAATTTGGTGTACACTTATTTTTTATGAGAAATATATTAATATATTTATATTTTCTGAAACTATCTAGTGTTGTTAATAGACTTTAATGCCCTGACTCAGAGTCTTTTCGTCTTTTTGTCTGTTCTTTGAACATCCACTTTGAATATGTTTAAATCACACCCCACAGTCTTTTCTGTACACATTCTTATTGTACTGCTGAAATTCTAATATAAATTGTGAACCTTTTGAATAAAAGCTGGAATAGATGCATTTTATGTCATAGAACTAAAAAGACCATACCTGGAAATACTATATTTCTGTTAATGTGGTTCAGAATTAAGAAACTAATGGAATTGAAGGATAAGTGGTGAAATTACACCATCTAGTGGAGGTAGATTTTTGTTTTTTAGTAAAACATTTTATGTCTCTTTAATTTCCTTATTATGAATGTTTTAGGAGCTTAAACATGGCAAATAATCTCTTTTAAAKGTATACAGTTTTTGGGCTGGGGATGCGGCTCAAGTGGTAACACACTCGCCTGGCATGCACGCAGTGCTGGGTTCAATCCTCAGCACCACATAAAAATAAAATAAAGATGTTGTGTCCACTGAAAACTGAAAAATAAATATTAAGAAATTCATTCTCTCTCTCTCTCTCTCTTTCTTTCTCTCTCTCAAAAAAAATGTATGCAGTTTTAGTATGGATTCTGAGGTGGTATGATTTTTAAAACAAAGTACTTATATTCTGATTAGGCAAGATTTCTCATAATCATTATTTATCAAGGATATAAAGAGCAATAAATGGCTTTAAACGTCAAATACTATGTTTAAAGTGTACATTTTTCTATTGAGGTGACTCAAAGCCAGTAGGATAGTACATGTTCTTTGTATAATGACAGTAATAGAAGGTCTAAATGTGCCAAAATCAAAACAATCCTGTGAGCATTTCACCTTGACTTCTAGTGAAGGAGACTGACCTCATTAACAGCTATCAAATGTTATAAGTCACCTAGAAATCAGACTTTGCTCACCAATATCTTTCTTTGTAAAATATTTCTTGGAGCTGCCAAATATAACTCCTTGGCCTCTAGATTGCATGGAACCAATATTTGGTGGATGCAGTTTATTTGGGATATTAATTCCTGCTCAGTGACATGTAGTTAGGGAAAAGACAAGAACACCTGAAAATGCAATAGATTATGAGAGTAAAGTAGTCTCTCTTTAAATACACATATATTTATATTTAATAACATGGTTAAACGGGAAAATGTGAAGCTATTATTTAAATATATTGTGCAGTTAAGCCATTGTAAAGTAATCTTTGCTGGTCAGATTATTTTTTCTTAGTTTGTGACAAATTTGTTCTGAAGTATATGCATATTTGTGGGTGTGTATGTGTGTGTAATACAAACCTACAAGATTTGTTAGCTTTTTAGAGTCTACATTTTTTACAACTCATTTTCCAAATTAGGAAAAACAAAACAAAAATAAGTAAGTGACTTGTTCTGTTGTGGGGGGAGGTTGCAACAAGAGTACTTCTAACTTAGAGCCCAACAGATAAAGCTAAAACAATGTGGTACATATATACTTAAAAGGGTTATTAAGTTTTAAATACTTTGAAATGTGTCAAGGGGATATAAGACTATATTCAGGAGGTACAGAAAATTGATTATTCTTCAAAGGAATCATGATGAGTTTATTAGAATCTCTTTTGTGATTTTTATAATATTAGGAGGCCTTACATCGGGAACAGATGTTGGAACAGAAGTTAGCCACACTTCAGCGGCTACTGGCCATCACCCAAGAGGCTTCAGATACCAGTTGGCAGGTATTCCAGTAGCCTTTATATTCAAGAAGCATTTAAACAACTTAATATTTCATAGGTGTGGATGAACCAAAATTAAAATTTTGTAATAATCAAAGGAAAGGGAGCGCTGAGGTGTAGCTTGGTGGTAAAGTGCTTGCCCAGCACATGTGAGGCCCTGAGTTTGATCCGCAGCACCACGTAAAAATAAATAAAACATAGATATTGTGACATTCTACAACTAAAAAGATAATTTTTWAAAAAAATAAAGGGGGCTGCCCATGTAGCTTAGTAATAGAGCGCTTGCCTATTATGTGCATGACYCTGGGTTCAATCCCCAGTACCACCAAAAAAAAAGAGGGGAGAGTTATTTCCTAACTAAAGAATAGGTATTATGCCAGGTTCATGGAATACATACTTGGAATACAAGTGATTTCGGAGCCTGAGGTAGAAGGATCAAAAATTCAGTATTAACTTAGTAAGACTGTCTCAAAATAAAAAGTTATGCCCAAGCRTGGTGGTGCCAGCATTTAAACCCAGTGACTTTGGAGGCTGAGGCAAGAGGATTTGCAAATTTGAAGCTAGCCTCAGCAATTTAGGCCCTAAACAACTTAGCCTCAAAATAAAATATTAAAAAGGACTGGGGATATAACTCAGTTGGTAGAGTATTTGCCTTACACGCACAAGGCTCTGGGTTCAAGCACCACACACACACACACACAAAAGTGCTGGGGGCCAGGAGCAATGGCACACATCTGTAATCCCAGCAGCTCAGGAGGCTGAGGCAAGAGGATTGAATGTTCAAAACCAGCCTCAGCAACTTAGTGAGTCTCTAAGCAACTTAGCAAGATCCTGTTTCAAAATAAAATATAAAGATGTGGCTCAGTAGTTAAGCACCCTAGATTCAGTTCCTGATACCAGTACCAAAAATACATAAATTTAAAAAATAAAATAAAAAGGCTGGGGATGTAGCTCAAGTGGTAGAGAACACACCTGGGTTCAGTCCCTAAGACAGCACAGGGGCACTGGGGGGGAAGCAAATCAAAGTGTTAAAAAGTTAGCATTTACAGTGGATGTTGATCAGTTTTATAATTTTATTTATTTTGATGGCTGTAGACCTTTTTGATATATAGGTTKTTTTTTTTTTGTTACTCTGGGATTTTATTTATATTTAATTTTTCTTCAACAGGCTTTAATAGATGAAGATAGACTCTTATCACGGTTAGAAGTTATGGGAAACCAATTACAGGCATGCTCCAAAGTAGGTATTTAATCTGTTACATAAAGAAGAATACATGGGTTTTTTATTATTTTTTTATTTACTTTTTGTTATTTTGAGTATACGCTAAAACTTTTGTACATTTTCAACATTCTTTTGTCATGAGAAATATCAAACATACATGTAAGTAGAAGGAATTGTATAATGAATKTCAACAACTGTCTTTTTTCTATTACAGTTGATGTTTATTGCAAAAACTGGGTCATTTGCCCTCTCGAATTTGTCTCAATTTACGTTGTTATTTGAATATTTTTCTAGCTCCTGTACACTCCATAAATTAGTATTTTGATCTAGATATTTGGTTTAATTTAGGGTGTGTGTGTGTGTGTGTGTGTGTGTGCACGTGTGTATGTTGTTGTTTTGTTTTTTTTTTTTGCCAAAACTTCATGAATAATAATGTGTTTTTTTATCAGAAGATAATACATTTGCCTCAATGTATTATGTATTATAATACATTTGGTGCTTTTGAAGGTAATTATTTTTTCTTACAGTGTCAGTATGGTGACTTGCAGAGAATATCACAAATGTAAGAATAATTAATTTTACATATTTAAGAAAAATTCTCAATTGCCTTTTTTTTCTATTGGAAGCAGGAATTAACATATTTGTCAACGCATAATTTACTGATTTGACTTTTAAATATACTTCATTTAATGCAGAGCCAGCATTGTTTCTGTTTGGCGGTATAACACAAAATTTAAAGAGCATCATAATGTGTTCAGCTTTTTCAAATAGTAGAAGCTTTTTAAAAAATAATTTTGCTATAATTGTAAATTTTTTTTTGTTCTAGAATCAGACAGAAGATAGTTTACGGAAGGAACTTATAGCATTACAGGAGGATAAACACAATTATGAGACAACAGCCAAAGAGTCCCTGAGGCGGGTTCTTCAGGAGAAAATTGAAGTGGTTAGAAAACTTTCAGAAGTTGAGGTATTTCAATTTTAAAAATACCACGTGGTAACTTTAGATAGGGCAAAGGGGAGGAAGGGGAAGGGAGGGAGCATAGGGATAGGAAAGATGGTGAAATAAGATGAACATCATTACCCTAGGTATGTGTATGTGTATGATGGCACTAATGGGTGACTCTACTTCATGTACAACTGGGAAAATGAAAAATTGTGCTCCATTTGTGTACTGTGAATCGAAATGCATTCTGCTGTCATGTGTAACTAGTTAGAACAAATTAATTAACTAATTTTTAAAAATGCCAAGTAGTAGTAGTATTTTTGTGTTTGTTTGTTTGTTTTTACTTTAAAAATTCCAGGGCCCTTTAAACATAGGTATTATTATGTAGCTAGGAAATATTTTCAGTCTCTCAAATGGGAAAGAACATGTATGCTGCTTACATTGACAGGAATTCTCAATATAATCATGTGAGTTCTGGTGCTTATGGTCCCAAGTCAGTGGCTAAGGAAATAAAGCTTAACCAGCTGGGTGCAGTTGTACACACCTATAATCCCAGCAGTTTGGGAGACTGAGAAAGGAGGATCGCAAGCTCAAAACCAGCCTCAGCAATTTATTAAGGAAAATCCTGTCTCTAAGTAAAAAATATTTTAAAAGGTTGGGAATGTGGCTTAGTGGTTCAATCCTTGATACAAACAAACAAAAAAGCCTAACCAGGGAATCTTACTGTTTGCACTCTGATGAGGATTCAGCCTCCCTATAATGGACCTTGATGTTTCAGGGAATTGATTTCTTGGCATAGATTTTGCTTTTTTTTCTTGGTCACTGTAAGACCAAGAACATACATGTTCTTACTTTACCTGTCCTTTAGAGAGGAAAATTGTCTTATACTTTGGAAGCTCAAAGGGAAACTCTCCAAGGCCCTTTCTGGGTCTTTTAAGAGTAATCAAAATGTGATTCTCAGGGCTGGGAGTGCAGCTCACTGGTAGAACCATGGGTTTAAAAAAAAAAACAAAAAAAAAAACCAGTGTGTATGTCTATACATATGTATGTGTGTGTGTGTGTGTGTGTGTGTGTGTGTGTGTATACATATATAAAGTATATATACTTTTTTATCATTGCATTAGGGGGAAAACCCTAATTTGTAATATGGGTCTTATTATTGTGTGTTATAATTAACACAGAAATTATCTGTCCCTCAGATTGGTTAAAATGTCCATCTTAAACTAAATAGTAACATATCCTTAGAACAGCGATAATTTCTATAATGACCTTATCCCAGAGCGCCTAATTCATTTTTATTTAATTTATTTACAGTTGCTAGCTGTCTTCTCTTTTTGGTGTTAATTGCTGCATATTACTAAACATACTTTAAGAATCAATAGACTTAGCCAGGCAAGTGTACACACCCCTGTAATCCTGGTGGCTTAGGAGACTGAGGCAGGAGGATCTCGAGTTCAAGTCCAGCCTCAGCAACTTAGTGAGATCCTAAGAAACTCAGTGAGACTCTGTCTCTAAATAAAATGCAAAAAAGGTGGGGGGTGCTGGGAATGTGCCTCAGTGGCTGAGTTCAATCCTTGGTACCAAAATAAAAAAGAATCAACATGCTTAAAGTATTTTCAAGTCTAAAAGTCACAGCTGTTGACCTTTTAAAAGTGTAATTAGCTGAGTACAGTAACACATGCCTATAACTCCAGTGGTTCAGAAGATTGAGGCAGAAGGACTGTGGTTTGAAGCCAGCCTCAGCAGTTTAGTGAGGCTGTAAGCAAACTAATGAGACCCTGCCTCAAAATAATAAATAAAAAGGGCTGGGGATGTAGCTCAGTGGTTTAGCACCTCTGGGTTAAATCCCCAGTACAAAAAAAAAGGTGTAATTACTGTGTCCCCTACACCCCCAACATTTTTTTTAAATCTTATTATTGTTTTAGTATGTAAATTGAAATCCTTATGTTATTTAACTCAGCTTTATATRAAGTTCAGGAAATGTATTGATTTAGAATAGCCCATGGAGTTATATTTTTTACAAATTGAATTTAGAAGGAATGCTAAATAATAAATGTACATTTATTMAAAATAAATTGTCTGTGAATTTGAATTTCAGCGAAGTCTGAGTAATACTGAAGATGAATGTACCCACCTGAAAGAAATGAATGAGCGGACTCAGGAAGAATTAAGAGAATTAGCCAATAAATATAATGGAGCAGTTAATGAGATTAAAGATTTATCTGATAAATTAAAGGTATGTATTTATTCAATCTAAAAGCATGTTAAGCTAATAATCTCTACCATACTGGGTAGCTTTAGATATTGTTTAGATATTGATGAATAGTTGTTTAAAATAAGGTGCTTCTATTCTATTTAGTTCAATCTCAATGACCAGAGATAATTGAAAGCCTGTAAAAGCTAATATATTTCCTCTGGAGGAATTTGAGTCACTGCCTCACAATTGGCATCTTTTGATATAGAAGAGGAAGTAAATGAGAATCAACAAAACCTAAGATATTCAGGGTTTTGTTTTATTCACCCTGAAACTGTTTATTTTTATCCCATTCCAAAGGTAAAGCCCAACTATTTAGTACTGGAATAAGCCCAGATGAATCTTAGAACTATCTGCTTGATTGCTGTTAGCCTTTAGGGATGGAGTTGATTCTGCTTCCACTGCCATTCCTTATAGCTGTGGCACATTTAGGATAAGGAGAGATCACATCATAGAGTAATGTCTAGTTGGTCCTTTGAAATCTTATATCTGAACCAGGCTCTTGGGAGTCTGAGGCAAGAGGATCTCAAGTTCAAGGCCAGTCTGGGCAACTTAACAAAACATTGTCTCAAATATAAAAAATAAAAAGGACTGGAGATGTAACTCAGTGGTAAAGTGTACTGGGTTCGGTCCCCAGTACTGTAAATGAATGAATGAATTCTTATAACTGAGTTAGTGAAGACCCATATTATTATAATTCAAACCATGAATTGAATGCCTGGAAGATATGAATTTATTAGAGAAGACCAATGCATACGTCTTCTGTGTGGTTGGTTTACCCATGGTAGTTCTATTTTTATTCCATTCTTCTTTCTGAGGATTGAACCCGCCTTGTGTGTGTATGCTATGCAAACACTATTACTACTGAGCTATATTCTCAGCCTTTTTCATTTTGAGATGAGGTCTTACTAGGTTACCCAGGCTGACCTCAAACTTGTGGTCCTCCTGTCTCAGTGTTCCAGGTAGCTAGGATTACATGTGTGTATCACTGTGCCTAAATAGGCTATGATGGTTATAAAGATTGGTCTTGTTAAAAGGAAGTCTTTTTAAAAAAGACTTATACCATCATCCCTTTATCAAAGCATGATTTTGTTTAAAATTTCAGAATAAATTGTATTTTAGAACTTAAAAATTAAAACAATAATAATTTTAGGGGAACATATTACTTACCACATTAAAATTGTGGTGTTTTGGGGTTAAGGATGTAGCTCAGTGGTAGATTACCTGCCTAGCATGTGTGAGCCCCCTGGGTCTAATCCCTAGCACTATCAAAAATATTTAAAAATAGAGTTTCATTTTGACCCTGTATCTCTAGATGTGATAAAACTGCTTGCTTGCTACAAGGTTTTCTTTTAGGTGCTATTATGGAGGAGTGAACCCAATACAGATCACTTTTGACATTAGATCTTTGTCTTTATTTTCTTTGCTGGTTTAGAAAAAATGGCTACATGTGACGCCCTGGATTTGATTCTCAGCACCATATAAAAATAAATAAACAAAATAAAAATATTTTTTAAAAAAAGAAAAATTGGCATTATAAATACAATCTGAAATTTTGTATACATTCCTTAGAAGTTGAATAAAGGCAGTGCTGGCTTAGGCCTCTTAAAACAGCATCAGATTTAAATCTTCTTCCTCAACAGGTAGCAGAAGGAAGACAAGAAGAGATCCAACAGAAGGGACAAGCTGAGAAGAAAGAATTACAACATAAAATAGATGAAATGGAAGAAAAAGAACAGGAACTCCAGGCAAAAATAGAAGCTTTGCAAGCTGATAATGATTTCACCAATGAAAGGCTAACAGCTTTACAAGGTAAGTTAGCTCATCTAAAAATTCTTTTGATTTGATTTTTTTTTTCTTTTTGTCTGTGAAATATCTTTTTCTTGGACTTTTATTTACAGTACGGTTAGAACATCTTCAGGAGAAAACTCTTAAAGAATGCAGCAGCTTAGGTAGGTATCATCCTGTTTAAATTTCCTGTTTAAAGCTAAATTTTGTCATTATTAAACTTTTGACTTTGTTTATTATTTCATATTAGGTTCTTATTTTCTGAAAGTGGTGTTTTACATATTAGGTATAAAATAGCTACACTCTTAGAAAATTTCTTTTTAAGGGGCCTGGGTGGTGGCTCAGTGGTAGAGCGCTTGCCTAGCATGTGTGAGGCACTGGGTTCGATCCCCGGCGCCACATAAAAGTAAAAACAAATAACGTAAAGGTATTGTGTCCATCTACAACTTAAAAAATATATATTTTTTTTTTAAAAAAAAGAAATTTTTTTTTAAATATGCTGGATTGCCACCAGTGGGCACCATTGTTTAGTCCTTGAGATAAATGAAATATCTGCATCTGAGATGTTCTACTTAAATCCACGAACAGTAGAATCCTTTTTCTTTTGAGGTTCATTGGAAGGCCATTAAGCCTGAATTAATGGAAAAATAGCATGTTGAACCCTTCTTGTAAAAATAAATATAAAGTGTTTTATACAATCTTAATGTGAATAGAAATACAAAATGCCATGGTTACACTTGAGACCAAGTGTAATACTTAAAACATTACTTTCTCTGATCAGGCAATGATATACTGTCTTAATCCTAGGGATACAAGTTGATGACTTCTTACCTAAAATAAATGGGAGCACAGAAAAAGGTAGTGTAAAAAACTTAAATATTTTTCTTTCATGATAACCTTTTACTGTTTAAGCAGAATAGGAAATTCAGGGTTTTAAAGTTTTAACTATTTGGAATGCAAAGCATACTGCTCACACATTATTGAATTCTATCATTTAAAAATCAGGGTTCCCTTTATTTTCTAAGACTTGTGCTATGATCTATTATTAGATATCCTTTGTTATATGGAAATTTCCATTAAATGATAAAAATTATAAAGTTCAACATTAGCAATGACTTGACTTAGTATAACTGTTTTTCTCCCAATGTAATTTTTAGAGAGCTAGACTATCATTTTGTTCCATCAAGCTCTGCTTTTGGCTCCCCATCTTTTGGGGAGGGTACCGGGGATTGAACTCAGGGACACTTGAGCACTGAGCCTCTCTCCAGCCCTATTTGTATTTTATTTACAGACAGAGTCTCACTGAGTTGTTTAGCACCTCGCTTTTTGCTGAGGCTGGCTTTGAACCCTCAATTAGCAGCCTCCCTAGCTGCTAGGATTACAGGCATGTGCCATTATACCCAGCTGGTCCCCTGTTTTTAATGTGTGAGTTTATTTAAAAGCCCATTGTGCCTTGGACATGTAGAAACTGCTTTCTTTTTTCCATCTGTTTTATTGGATAGAGGAAATGAGGTCAGTTATTCTGCCATCAGAAAAAAATTATTTTATTAGTTTTKGGGTTGTGACCCTTACTTCTAGACAGCATAGATGTTCTCTTGCCCATAACTTAAAGCCACTAGATATTGATTTTACTGTTACTACATGGACTACTTTTTGCTCAATGACTTCTATAATCTTTTAGTCTTGAAGATACTTTTCGCYGTTTACACTTCCCCTTTCATCCAACGTTGATTGTCAGCTATGCCAAATTCTGCACTAGATACTTAGAGTACCAAAGAAATAAAACTATTTTCTTGTGTATACTGATATCACTATGTGCCTCTCATCTCAATTTTYATATAAAAATTAGTGGAAGATATCAAGGTTCATACCAAAACTTCTATAAAATATTTAAACTCCATTAAATATTTTTTCCATATATCAGGGGATATCTTTATAGTTCTTGAGCAACAATCARATTCTGGTAAAGTTGGGAAGTGGTTTATTTTTGTTTCRTTTGTTTGGCTTGTTTTTAATCAAGAACTAGCAAAATAGGCTCAGGTGATCATGTATATGTGAACTGCAAGGTCAAGACCTAATAATATTGTGTTTATAATGGATTTTGGAACTCTCAATTAAGAAAAAGTTTTTTTTAACAATTGCTATTTGACTATTCTCTTTATTTTTGTAAAATGCATCAATTTTAAAAATTCCAATTTGAATGAGTTTCAATTTGAGAATTTTTAAAGGTGTAGTTTATATTCATTGCACAAAAACGACTTGTTACTTTTCATTTAATAAACTTAGCAAACTGATGTAAAATGAATTAATCCTTTTCTTCTAAAACTTTGTCTTCCTTAAATGATTTTGTATTTTCTGTTATTATTTTGTTTATTTTTCTTTCTGGTATGTACACTTTTAAATCAGTCCCTCACTCTTTTGACTTGAATGTGTATTTGTTCATAGCATTAGGTATTAACCTAAACTGAAAACCTCCTCTTTCTTCAATTGAGAGAATTCTTTTATATACACAGAACCATCTTTTTACTATTTATATTTGTCAAATTACTGCATGAAGTTTTTGCCAGTTCCAACTGATTTGGGAATAGTAGAATGTTTTTATATTATAGAATATTGTGGATTCCTTTATTCAAGATTAAATAAGATATTTTAGATATTTAAAGGTAACTTCGTGCTATAAGTATTTTTTCCTTATTCGTATATTTGGTTTTTGGCGATAATAAATTGAGTAATGTGGAGAGAGACTAATAGGATATTTTAAAAGATGCTAAGTAGGGCTGGGGTTGTGGCTCAGCGATAGAGTGCTCATCTAGCACATGTGAGGTGCTAGGCTCGATCCTCAGCTCCACATAAAAATAGATAAATTAAATAAAGGTATTGAGTCTAACTACAACTAAGAAAAATATAAGTGAATAAAAAAAATAAAGGTATTGTATTCAACTACAACTAAAAAAAATTTTTTAAAAAAAGCTAAGTAGTAAATTTCTGAATAAACACAAAACCTTCATCACACCAGACTTACATAGTGAACTTTTGAGATGGGTTACCAGTAACATTCTGAATCACTTGTCATTTAATACAAACCAATTACTAAGCACTCCAATATTACCAAAATCTAGAACCATAATATTACGAGTTTTTAACTAAAATTATTCTATAAGCAGTAGAACACCAAGAAGGGTTATAAAAGAATATTTCAAAAATGTCTGAATATGTTAAAATTAATATTTCTTCTAGCAAACTGCAATTTTTGAAATTAAATATAATGGAGCTGTTAAAAGCACAGGTTTTGTGCTATTTTTTGTATCTTATTTAATAGTTATAATTTGAACATCTCTTAAAGAGTATTAAATAATGCAATCTAAAAGAAATATAATTAGAGCCACATATATGATTTAAATTTTTCTGGTCACCACATTAAAAATATAAAAAGAAGCAGGTAAACAAATTTTAATAGTATATTTTATTTAACCCACAATATCCCAAAATGTTATTTTAACATGTAACCAGTTTTCAAAGATTATTATTGAAACAATTGCACATTACTTTTTTCTTACTAGTTGAATTCATCATCTCTTTGTTTTATACGTACAAGCACATCTCAATTCTAACTAGCCACATTTGAAAGGCTCAATAGCATGTCTGGCTAGTGACTGTAGTATTGGACAACATAGGCATAAAACATTAAAATCCATAGGAAACTCACATGTATAAATAAAACTCATTTTAAGTAGAGTGGTTTTCTACTTTACATTTTCATATTTGTCTTGTTTACATTCCTACAACACTGTTTAATATCATAAAGACCCCTTTTCTCACCAATAAMTATCTACTTCCTTTTGGATTATCAGTGGCACACATTTTTATAGCTTTGGCAGAGTGATTTCCAAAAGRCCTGAATTTAAGTAATAGAATATTAAAAGTGTCATAATATAAAAGCTTTATGTATACTATCTGTAAGACACTTTTCTTAAATGTTTAGGAGATGCCTTTGTAGAAGGGATATGTATGTATCTATTTATATTAATTTTAGAATTTATCTAAACAAGTGTATGATAAACATTTTAGTATCATGTTCAGATGTTAAAATCAGAGCGGATAAAAGGTTGATGTTTATCTGGTCAGATATGGTTGGGATATCCTACTTCAGTAATTTGAGTCTTTTGATGTTGTTCTGAATTTTGGCTTCAGATAAGTTTCATAGAATCCTTTAGTTAGGTTAAGATTTGGTTCCAGATGAGTTTTGATGTTTAACATGATGTTATGTATGTAGTTTGAGTTTTGAAAGTATCATAGCTTAGAAAGAATTTATGTAAAACAGTTTTTTATCTTTGTAGTTGCTGTTTTACTAAGGGCCCCTTTTTTGCTTTAGTTGGCTCTGATTGATAAATTGTTTAAATTTTTTAAATTTTAAATTTCTGTAGCAGTTAGCATGTTTATGATGTGTATCTCAGTATTATGTTGTAACCAAGTCATGTGTTAATCTTTTTAAAACATGAGGTTATATCAGACTTTTTTTCTTCATGTTTTTGTCTATACTGATGGTTACTGTAAAGTGGAGTGCTCTGTAACCAAGAATAATAAATTTGAGAATAGAGATAATGAAGGCAACTAACAGGAAGGATGTTGAGATAATTAAAGAGGTAAAGTAGGCTGAGATAGAGAAAGGAGGGTTTTATAGTGAGAGTGGTGCTGACTCATGCGTCCTTTTTTGAAGATTTTAATGTTTTCACACCTTTCACATCATATTGAAATATAATTTTAATACTGAAGTTTTCATAGAGAAAGGGTTATTTTATTTATCTCTGTGTGTGTGTGTGTGTGTGTGTGTGTGTGTGTGTGTGTGTGTGTATACATGTATGTGTGGTGCTGGGGATTGCAAGTGCTATATCCCTAGCCCTTTTTAAATTTGAGGCAACATCTTGCTAAGTTATCCAGGCTAGCCTTGCACTCTTTTGATCCTCCTGTCTCAGCCTCCTGAGTAGCTGGGGTTACAGGAGAAAGGTATATTTCAGAGTGGGAGAAGCTGTTTAAGGCAGTATGTTTGGATTTTTTGTTGTTGTTGTTTTGGTTTGGAGGTTTTGTTGTAGTCTGGTGTTTTGTTTTGGGTTTTTTTTTTTTTTTTTTTTTTGAGCTCTTTGGATAAAAACTGCACCTTTAAAAGCTCACTATTCAGGGGATAAATTAATGGTTATAAAATCACTATTTTCAGTCATTTAATTCTAAAATGTTTGCTTGTAATATTAAAATGTGTATTCAACTTTTAGTAATCCTACTCAGAGTTACCCATGTTGATACATTTTTGTTTTCCTGTCTTTGCTGTTAGTTTTCAAAGACAGCAGCAAACTATATCCTTAAAGGTGTTTCTTTCTTCATTAGAGCACTTGCTTTCAAAGAGTGGCGGGGACTGCACTTTTATTCATCAATTCATAGAATGCCAGAGTGAGTACAGAGTATTTTTCACATTGATTTTAATAAAGTCAGGGACTGAAGTTGAAAAGTGAGAGTAATAATGAGGATCTTGATATGTTTATTATAGCAGAAGTACACAAAGCCAACTTTTGTGTGCCAACTAGACAGCAGTGAACCTTTTCAGACTGTTTCTGTTTTTGTTTTTTTGAGAAATATATTCCTATTGTATCAGCCTTCACAGAGTATTTTACATTAGTCACACACACAAAAAAAGACGAAATTTAAAACTTGTTAATGTGCCATCATTACTGTACAGAAATAAAATGGACTTTCAAGCACCTCAGCCTTTTATGTGAATACTTAATAAAGAGATGGTAACCATAATCTATTTTAAGTTGTAGTTCAATCATGATTTGAATTTTGAGGTTCTTAAATGAAGCCTTAAAAAGTTATTCAGTTTGGGCTGGGCACAGTGGCGTGCGCCTGTAATCCCAGCAGCTCAGGAGGCTGAGGCAGGAGAATCACAAATTCGAGGCCAGCCTCAGCATCTGAGCAAGCCCCTGTCTCAAAATAAAAACTTGTAGAAAGAGCTCAGGGGAGTGGTATTCTTTTATTAGTGACAAGCAGATTGCCACATATAGTAAAAAAATTACTGGTAATGTATATGCTTTTTCCTCTTGTGCAAACACTCTCAAGCACTTTTCTCTTCCTGTTCTCTTTGAAATGAATGGTTTTCCAAATTTTTATGCACATCCATCTACGATTTTAGGAGAATTTGAGAATTATAAAGGCCACAACTGGTATAAACAACAGACATCAGTTCAATAGATCAAGAATTATACTCCTTAGAGTATTTAAGGAAATGAGAAATTTCATTAAATGTTTTTAGAAGAGCTCTGATTTTGTCAGTCTTAAATATTATAATATTAAATGTAAGTTTAATACTACTTTGAGGCAATTTATTTAGTCAATGTGGCATTTCTTTTGTTCTTTCAAACAGTATTCATAAAGCAAAGATTGGTGCATCTTTTTATTCTAATTACAAAAATCCACTTTATTCAAAAACGGTACAGTGATTTGGGGCAAGATAATTGGTATCCACTCAAACCAGGAAAAAAGTATATAATCTAAAATATAAACTTTTTTAGAAGAAAAACTTTATATTTTTATTACATGTGATGATTCTTGGATAAGTTATTTTTATTTTGAACTTTTAAAGTTTATATTTTGAGACCCCCAAAATAAGAGAATTGTCACAAGAATGTTTTACTGAGTTGCAATTTGCAGAAATACTTCTTTCACGTTAGTGACAAGAAAAGGTCACTAGCCTTTATTTTTATCACTTGATTATTTAAGAAAAAAAAATTTAATCTCTAATTTGTTGTCAAACATTTCATTCAAAGTAATATTATAAAAATATCTGTAGTTTTAATACAGAACAATGTTTATTTTAAATAAAGCAAAAGATGTTTCAGATTTTTATTGCATCATAGTTATGGGGGGAAATGGACTAAATAAACATAAGTGAGAGCACAAAAGTTAGGTAAATTATAATAACTCCTCTCAATTAGAGTATTTGACCAGCTTATAAAATTATGTTTATAAGAACTATGTAATTGCATGGGAAAATTTTAAACGTGGTACATAGAAAAAAATCCGTATAAAATCCCATTCCTGTTTACAAAGTATGGACCAAAGATGAGAAAAAAAAAATATAGGCATTTCTAGGTATCTGAATCCATTGGATTTCTGAATACCAACAATAAAAATTTAAGCCAGAGCAGTGGCACACATCTGTAATCCCAGTGGTTGGGGAGGCTAAAGCAGAAGGATCATAAGTTCAAAGCCAGCCTTAGCAAAAGTGAGGTGCTAAGCCACTCAGTGAGACCCTGTCCCTAAATAAAATATAAAATAAGGCTGCGGATGTGGCTCAGTGTTTGAGTGCTTCTGAGTTCAATCCCCAGTACTCTCCCCCCAAAAAACAGTGAAAGTTTAGACCATAAGCTAATATAACTAGGGTAAAGCCTATTATTGAAATGTTTGGTTTGAATTTCAAGTAGCAAATAGCAATCATTTGGTTAATGATGATTCTACTTGTATCTCAAAATTTTCTAAATTTGTTCAGTTCCTTAAATCTGTTTAGCCAGAGTTAAAATAGTATAGGTTAGTTCTTGCTCAGTTTATTATCAGAAGGAACATTTCATTATTTTATGACAAGCTGCCATTGTAGAAATTGTTGACTTTAATGAGTATTATCACAAACAATGCAAATTCAGCAAACATCTTACTCAGGTGAACTTACCTCAGCACTTTTAAAACAATTTTGGAGTACTTATTGACAAGCCTACCCAGACTTTGGGGGGGGGGTGGGGGTTGCTGTTATTTTCATTGATAAGCATCATAAACTGGTTTATGATCTTGATCATAAAGTATAAATTCATTATACTGTAGTACTTAAGATTCTCAGTTCCTTTCAGTCTTGAAAAAAGCAAAGTTAAATACTTTGCCTTCATTATTTACTAGTGCTTATATAGAATAAATTCACCTTGTGCTTTAAAAATTAGAAAGCAGATAATTCACTTTCTTTGTTTTTTTTTGGGGGGGGTTGGGTTTGGGGGTTGTTGTTGTTGTTGTTGTTGTTATTTGTCTTGTTTTGTACCAGAGATTGAACCCAAGGGCACTTAACCACTGAGCCACATCCCAGCTCTTTTTATTTTTTATTTTGAGACAGGGCCTCCCTAGGTTGCTTATAGCCTCACTAAGTTGCTGAGTCTGGCTTTGAACCTGAGATCCTCCAGTCTCAGCCTCCCCAGCTGCTGGGATTACAGGCATGTGCCACCACACCTGGCTTCCTTTGGATCCTTTATGTTTATCTTTATTGTATTGATACATTTTTTTAGTTTATGTGTGTAAGAGAACATAATTGTTCTCCATAAAAGGACAACTTGATTTTGTGGAAAATAAATGAGTTGGGACACATTTCAGACTTGTTTTCCTTTAATGGTAAAACAGATGATTTAAAAAAATGCTTCTTTTGACCTAAAGTTCTTAATCAAAGAGAAGGAGTTTGGAATTTAGATGTTTTGGGCTGGGGATGTGGCTCAAGCGGTATTGTGCTCGCCTGGCATGCGTGCAGCCCGGGTTCGATCCTCAGCACCACATACAAACAAAGATGTTGTGTGCACCTAAAAAAAATAAATATTAAAAAATCCCCCCCYCTCTCTCTCTCAAAAAAAAAATGTTTTGCATAATTCCCTAACCATAAAGTAGTATTCTGTATAAAAAGAGATTCATAGCATAAAATCTAGAATTAAAAAGTAACTTAAGTAAAACTTGCTCATATTTTTTAACAATATTTTTTTCTAGGATTCAGAACATGAGTTTGGTTTAGTCAGAACTCCACACTCAACGTTCCCTGCACATTTTAATTATTTCAGGTTTACTGTATTAACTTAATGGATACATTGAGACTTTTGTATTCTGTTAAGGATGATTTCTGAGCCAACAAATTGTGCGCTTCTCAGTCTGCTTCTACATGTCCATGAACTCTTGCGCTTGACTGACTTACATACTGAGCAAAAAATTGACAGGTGAAAGGTAGAAAATACAAGGCCATGGAGATCTTCCATCTCTTTTAGGCATAGTAAAAGTCATCTTTCTCTGAACTGTTGCCTGACACTTTGATTTCTCTTGCTGTTGTCTGTCCTGATGAGGGGAGAGGCATTTCTGCTGGGCACCAGAGAAACTTTCCTCTGAAGTCTATCTTTTAGAGACAAACTTTCCCCTTCCCCCAGAGTATCTTCCTCTTGATAGTGGATTTATCAATTCTCCTGAAGTGAACCTCACACCTTTGTATTCTTAATCCATGTTTACCGTTTTTGTTATTATTAGTTAAAAATTGAATTATCTTAACGTTTCGTATCTTACTGGGCTGTCCCCTAATTTTCAAAAAATTCTCTCCTTGCTCCCCACCTCATTTTGAGATTATAGGCACTATCTCTCTATACTTCTTTTCTTCCCTCCTTCCTGCTAGGGCTTTGCTCTCACACTGAAATTGCCTTCTTTGGAGGAATGTATTGAATCAGTGTTGCTGTGTAACTGAATGTTTACTTTTCTTCCCTCTATGAGGTCAGCCTCTCTAAATAATCTCAGGATTATTCTGATTACATATTCTCCTTGAAACAGATTATTAAACTTTTTTTTAAATGTATTTCTCTAAGCCAAAACAGTTAATTTATGGCAAAGAATGGAAGGCACTTGATGTGTGTTAGGTTAAGTCCCTGGTATAGGAAACAGAGTGTAAACTAGATGGTGCTAATTTATTATTTCTTTGTCCTTAGTTTGTCTAGTCTAGGATACATTAGAGAATTATATTAACTAATTTTATTCTGCAGAATTGTATAAACTTGTGAGGGTCTGTGTTATTGTAATTGTAACATAGAACCTTTCCTTTGCAATCCTAAAGCTGTATTTCTACTTGTGAATTGCTACTCTCTGAAGGTAGAGAAGTTGCTGGCTTGCTGTTGAACATTAATTGTAATTTTCTACTTTTGTTGTATCATCACGTTYGTTCTAGTATCAGTTTCTTTACCATATTTGTCTTTTCTTAAGGATTTTTTTTTTTGGTAGTTGTGGATGAACAGAATGTCTTTATTTTTATTTGTTTATTTTTATGTGGTGCTAAGGATAGAACCAGTGCCTCACACATGCTAGGCAAGCACTCTGCCACTGAGCTATAGCCCCAGCCCCTATATTTGTCTTTTAACAATCTTTTTGGTAACTTTTGCTCATTCTATTTATGATGATTAGAATTGGATTTTCATGTGGATCCTGATTTGGCCTCTCCCTGGCAGTGATTCTGGGCAAATTAACCTCCATTCTCTCATTTACAAAATGGGATGGTAATACCTACCTCAGAGGATTATTATAAAAATTAACTGAGATTGTATTTACTAAGTGCTCTATAATGCCTGGCACACAGAAATACTTGTTATGTAGTAGGTAGAAAATATGTGGGTAGGTGGGATCAT